AAGGCACCAGCTGTGCCAGGAATGTTGAAATGATGAAGGCCAAGGCAATTCCACAAAAATTTCCAGTGATGAGCCTATATAGAAAAAAAAATAGAGATAGTACAACGTCTTGAGAAACATGAAACTAAAAGATCTTCAGTAAAAAAAAAAAAAGGAAGCATTCATATGAAGAATGGTCATATCATATATGAGCTGTGGAGAGTTGACACGTTAATTGACCAGTTTGCTGTACCTAGAAGGCAATGGGACAACTAAGAGAAATACACTTCTGTGATAGATCCTACCATAGATTCTGTAGCAAGTCATACATAGTCAGAAGCTATGTGATTTACTGCCAGTCTTGGTTGGGAAACATAATAGAACCATCCTACCTGAACTTTCCCACCCCCCTTTTTCAACAAAAGAATGGGAAAGAAAGTATACAGAAGATGTCTTATTCATTGAAACACAAAAATGTCCTACTTGGCTATAGAAGAAACTGCATTATACATTGTTCTGGAAGTGAACAGGTCAAATATATCCTTCTCCATTTGTTTAGGTTAGAAGAACTGTCTGCCAAATGCTTTACAGTAGTAAATTGATGAGATATCTTGGATGCCTCCCACCCACCCCCACCCCCACCCTGAAGATCAGTGCTGATAAACACTGAAAATGGCAAGGTGTGCAAAGGGTTTTTTTTATCTATTTGTTCAATTTCTATGGCTTCCCATTTCAGTCAATAACTCTGGGCAGCTTACAATTCAGAAAATATATTACGATAAAAAATTAAAAAACATTTTAAAACAACAAAAACAGTAAAACCAATAAAAAACATTTAAAACACCCAGTTCAACATACATAAGAGCAAGATATTTGGCCTATTAGCAATATAGCCAGGAAAAGGGGCCTTTGGGATATTCAGCACCCCAGAATAGGGAGTGTAGCTGGATTTTTAAGGCTTATGAAAGACTAACAGGGCTGGATCCTTTCTGACCTCTGAAGGGAGGATGTCCATAAAGCAGGGGCCACTGTGGAAAAAGTTCATCTTCTGGTCCCCACCAGCCAACACTCTTTGGCTGAGAAGATCTACAACATGCCCATTCTGCTTGATCTAGTTCAGGCATGTCAAACGTGCAACGTCACGTGACGTCGTGCAACGTATTGGGCCGGTTTTGCCTTTGCCTTCCATATGACGTGTCCGGCCTGCGGGCCAGCAGTTTGACACCCCTGATCTAGTTCGACCAGTAGAAACTCTTGGAACAAAGAGATCCCTTCAGGCACTCCAGTCCCAAGCCATGTTGTAGGGTTTTATAGGTAACCACCAGCACCTTGAATTGCATCCAGAAACACACTGATAACCAGTGAAGCTCACACAGGAATGGTGTTGTGTGTATGCTGTATATCTGGCACCCATTTACTACCCATGCGGCTGCTTTCTGCAGCAGTTGGAGTTTCCAAATGATCTTCAAGTGCAGTCCCATGTAGAGTATGATGCAATAGTCTAATCTGGAAATTACAATTACAACATGTGATCTAGCTTCCTGATCTAGTATGGGCACAACTAGTGCACCACCCGAAGGTTTGCAAAGGCCCTCCTAGCCATAGCTTCCAACATCCCCCCACCCCGAGCTTTAGAGAGATACAGTCTCATTAGTTTTTGCAGTCCAACTTAGCCATAAGGGCTATTATCTTGCAGTACAACTTAGCCATAAGGGCTATTATCTCCACAGCAGCAAGCGGTGGTATTACACAATGGGAAAAGAAAATTTGGTGGGCAGGAGAGCACGCAGACTATAGGCCATTCAAGCAATACAAACCACCACAGACTATTAACATAGAACAGATGTTCTGTGACAATAGACCCAAAGACAGGATCTAGGTAGTTAGGAAGTGAGGAACTGCCATATTTTCAAGAAGGAAGCATTCAGGCTGCAAGGGCATAAAAGCTGGCAGAATGTGGGAGAAAAACCTGCATATGAAGAAGGACTTTTGTTGGTCCACAAAAGTACAACAGCTAGAATTAATAACAGCACAAATACCTCCTTGACTAGCTAATAAAAAAATCAAAAACCATACAGTTTTGGATAACTACTTATAATATTGAAGTAACTGTTTGTAGCCTACCAATTGCATCTGCTGCAGCATTAGGATAAATCTCAAGAGACACCAGATATATTAAGATAGGTGAATTTCATGTGGTGGGGACATAAACCATCCAAGTAAAGAGTGTAAAGGAGATTGCCATTTCACTAAAAGATTAAGTATCGAACAGGAAAAACAGAAAGGGTAATGAAGGTTAACCCAAAAGATGGGAAGAGGTCCATGTACAGACAGGCTCCTATAGTGCATGTTCCTTACCATGTACCAGATAATTGTTTCTATGCTATCCATTCAAAATCACACAGACTGTGGGATTGTTCTGGAATTTAGGTCAATCATGGTCATAAGTCCTCAACTTATGACCATAATTGAGCCCAAAATTTCTGTTGCTAAGCAACACCATTGTTAAGTGAGTTTGGGCCCATTTAATGACATTTCTTGCCACAGTTAATTGAATCACTGCAGTTGTTAAGAGAGTAACATGGTTGTTAAGTGAATTTGCCTTTCCCATTGACTTTGCTTGTCAGATATCACAAAAGGTGATCACATGATCCTGGGACACTGCAAACATTATAAATATAGGCCAGTTGCCAAGCATCTGAATTTTGATCACATGACAATGGAGATGCTGCAATAGTTAAGCGTGAAAAACAGTCATAAATCACCTTTTTCAGTGAGATTGTAATTTTGAATGGTCACTAAACAAATAATTGTAAGTTGAAGATTATCTGTAATTCAATACACAATCACTTGTGTTACCAAGCAAAGTTGCACTGATTTGATGGGAGTTTCTAGAAGTATACAGTAATTCTTGGTAAAGGAATTCAGTAAAGGTCCATGTATTTATTAGTTCATATTTATAGCAGCAATAGATGAGTTGTATAAATGATAGAAGATAGCGCTATTGAACCCCAGAAGAATGCCAAATAAGGAAACACCTCCCATTGGACAGGTGGGCAAATGGGTGCACACCCAGCAATCTTTCAAATATAAACAGATAGCTATGTCAGAAGACAGATTCATGATAAAATTGTCCTGCCAACTAAACTGACAGTCATGCTAAAAAAAATCTCCCATTCTATTTCCTCTGAAGATAAATGTGATGCTGTTAATCAATAAAGTAAAGGGATTTGTAGGTATTTGAGTCTTATTAACAAGATTTTCCCTAATGTGGTGGAAAGTGAAATGCAATAAAACGTTTCAGTTTTTCAATTACGTATACATTTCTGATGTGAAAAACCTCCACACTTCCCATAAAATGACGGGTTTTAGCCTCAAGGTAAGTTCAAATATAGCCCCCTGCACCCCGAATAGGTGGGAGGGAGGGATTTAGATGCATAGAGCATAAGCAAAAATAAAAAGCAGCAAGATACAAAAGCACAGGGTTGCATACTCCTTCCTACTTCAGGTTTGTCTATTGCCCCCAGTATCAAATAAACCAATTTATATTTCATTGGAATTGCATGCAAGTCTCCATTCAAACAATGAATTTCTGTTCTAGCATCTGACCTCTGAATCTTTAATAGCCTAGCAATAACATTAGTATAAGGTATACTGGTATGTTTTCCCCCACATCCCCATCTTCCCCTTCCAAGTCTTTGCAAAAATTAACCAGACAGTGTTCTGTAGTGTGTAAAAATAAATAATATTTATTGCAGTTGTTTGGCAGCTATTTAGTAATGAAATAACCTTTAATGTGTTACTTTCAACAAAATTTTGAATTTTAGTAAATTACAGAATTTTAATTAATTACAAAAAAATCAAGGTATTTGGTTTTATTTCATGATACAGATCTGTTGTTTTTCATTTTAGTACTGCTCTGTAGAGAATATAGCAATCTCAAACTTCTAATATAAATGCTATTTACAAAAACAAATATACTTCAAAAAGGAGTCTGCACAATATCACAAAAACACAATTCTTGCTGGAGAGTGATGCCTTTTGAAACATATCATGTACTGGTAAAGGCATCTGTATCATTCAGAAACTATCATGTTGCTTCACATTAAATAATACATGACAATTTACTATAAATATACAAATATTTTGTAGCACACACCTTGTGTATTTATAGTAATTATTTATTGTGAAATTAACAAATATTATCAGAAGAAAAGTCCTTTAATCATATAGGACTATAAGTTTTTTTTAAATCTAGATCTCTTAGAAGATGATGGCCTAATTATTAAATGTTTTAAATAAGATCCCTTTCCTGCTTGTCCAAAAATAATTTGTGAAAAATCTGTTTTGTTCTTTGTGATTCCTCTCTAGAAAGTATCAAATAGCACTGTAATTAATATAGTTTCAGCCTGTTGTTGTTTCAACCTATAGCTGTTATAAAAGAGTGAGATAGTAATATTAACCCAATATATCTTAAAGGAATATTCTATGTGATTAGGAAGTATAATTACTTGAAAATATTTCAGCATTTTCTTCTCAGCTGTGTGGATGGTTGAAATTTTAAGTAAAACACCTTTATTTCATAAACATTCCGTCCTTTTCTATCTTTTTCCACATTCATTTAAATTAAATATTCAACATACAGTATTTCTGCAATTTCATATCAGAGTAATATCCAGGAAGAATCAAAATGCAAAGCCAAAATAACAATTTATGGAAATGGGATTAGTATAGCTAATAATGATCCATCTAGTTATTCATCCAAGGCTGTCAGACAAGTAGTTCAAGTTCCTCAAAGAAATTTTCCTTTCCAGCTAATTGCAATTTCTTACAAAATTGCCATATCTACAAAACAGAAAGAAAGAATCCCTTAAATTTATAATATGATGTATGATTAGGGCATAACTACATTCTCAATTTTATGTTTATTATTCAGAGTACAATGAAAATAACCTATTAATACTATTTACACTACTTAGGCTATTAATAATGTATTAATACTATTTAGGTTGGGGCTGTGGAAATCACCTAAGACAGCGCCGCCATCACCCCCAACCTTTTGGGCACCAGGGACCAATTCTGTGGAGAGAGATTTTTCTGTGGACCAGAGGAGGCGTGGTTTCGCATGCTGCCTACATTACATGGATGGGGCTTCTCTTGTTTGCGTGGTCCGGTTCCTGGCATGCCATGGCTCAGGGTGGGAGGACCCCTGACCTAAGTCGATTACTTCAAGAAACATAATGTGGCAAGCAACACACTCCTCTTTGCAGTGTCGAAGCAGCAATATCCTTCAAAAGGTTCAGGCCAAATTCCCCTTAGAGGTATTTTCTGGTTCATTACTGTATTTGATGATTTACATCCCAAGTAGCATTCCCTCCTCTCATTTTTCCACACTGTGGAGAACCTATAAGTTGGGGTGAGAGACAGTGACTGACACAAATTCACCCAGTGAGCGTCCATGGCTGAAAGTGGACTTGAATACTTGAGTCTTCCAAGTACCACTTTAATATTTTAATTATTACAGCCACTGGTTTTTAATGTTCTCTGTTCATGCAAGTTTGTGCACAGACCTTTGCACTGGGACTTCCAGTGAAGAAAGCAATTGTCTATGAATGTATAATATGGTGTTCCTATAAAGCAGACATTTTACTACCAAGTATTGTTCTATCTTTCAACCTGAAAATATTGGGAGGAGTCTCAAGACTGAGGGTGACAGAGGGGTCTGTGAGGAAAGACCTTGACAATGAGTTGGGACATAGGAATATACTTTATCAGAGTTTGGAATTCACTTTCATGCTACTGAACTAATCAACCACATTTGGGAATTTCATATTTGTTCCTCAAACTGGAGATTCTAGGCCTCATTTATTTATTTATTTTAAAGGAAGGCTGACAGGTCTATGATTCCTGAGAGTTCTGGTGACTGAGCACATATTGAACTAGATAGGGCTGACCTTGACAAACTGATCTTTCTTCATTTGCAATAGGTAAAGCTGGGATTCAGATAATATATTTCCAGTTGTGATTAAAATTTTATAGTAGGGACTTCTATCAAGCATGGAGAGAAAGAAGAAAAATAAAGTGATGCATAATCTAGATGACACAGAGTTGTTCTGGATTCATCAAAACATGGCTAAGGGAGTGCTACGTATTTAGGGCACTAGTGTGGAGGAAAAATATATGGATAAGTAGATCAAATACATTTTTCCCTGGCTTTCTTCAGCTTATAATGTTATTCTGCCTAGCTAAGCAACTTTAGCTTCACTATAGCTTTCAGTGGATCTAAAAAAAAAAAAGGACTGATTTCTGGACATATAATTCTCTTTCGGCACAGAAAGAGAAGAGCCAAATTTATCCAGGAATGAAAAAAAAATGTTCAGCTGGGTTTGACATTTTGCATTTATATGTAAAAGTTACCTCCAGCTCTTAATACATTGTATTGCTATGAAAATCAGCTTTGATCTTGTCTCTCCCTTCATTTTCCTTTAAAAAAAAGTTAGCGACATTGGAGTGCAGAGGATTCAAATATATTTCTTTTTATCCATCTTCATGTTACAACAAAACTGAATAACTCTGGAGAGTTAGCATAACACACACAGACAGAGAGACACTATAATCTAAAATGGATTTATCTTTAGACAAATCTACAATTCATAATTTATCTCTAAACATGACACAATAACTTTTGAATATTGAAAATTGTTAATTTTTAAAAGAAATGCTTATGTTAGAAACTCCTATTTATGTTCTTAATTGCTGCAGGATGGAGAGCTGATTTATTTTTTACATAGAAATACAATTCAGTTAAAATGCCATAAACATGGATTTTTTAAAAAAAAATGTGTCACCAATCTCTTCCCAATAGAAAAGATTTTAAAGGGGAATTTAAAAGAGAATTTCATTATCCAGTTGCTAAAATTATGAATTAATTAGTTGGGACATTGAAAATTAGAAGGTCTTTTGTTTTTACGTAGATATTTATTTTAGCTGAATAGTGATAACTTATTACCAATCAAGTGATCTGTTATTAATTCGGATGAACTGATCTGTTTTTCAAATAATCAGATCAGAACCTAAACTAAATGTTGTAATACAGCCCACATTTCATAAATCAACCTCAAGTGAACACAACCTATTCTGAACAATCAAAGCTTTCCTTCTCCCCAGCTCTTTTTACCTTCTTCCAGGTTTCTGCTGGGCAGCTACCACACCCAACTTCCCTCCACAGTTGGAACAATGTGGGTAAGGTTTCCCACCATGCTTTGGAATACTCCAGCAGTGAAAACATCTTATTCTGTACTTTTTGTACCTGGGGGGGAGGGAGAGAAGAAGTTTAATAATAAAGTTTAAACATTAATAAGATTAATAAGTTTAATAAAAATGTCATTGGCCATTCTGTGTCTCTGTTCATTGACTGAGCTGAATTTTGTAAACTGTGACAAGCATCTTCCCATGCTGCTGTACTGTATCTCCTATTTGCGTGAAATAAAATGGAAATGTCTTGGGGAGTGCATGAAATATTTGTGGGATATAAGGAAAATATTTCCTATGAAAATAGGGCCAATAGGTATTAGGGATCCTTGGAACTATTTTCCAACATATTTCCAGAGCAGAATCTTAGTCAGTTTTCCTTTCTATGTTTTGTTGACCTTTAATAGATAAATCAGAAGCAGTTCTGTGCTTGGCCTGTTTTGTAGTAAATCCTAGACCTTATCAAGTGTCATTGTTGAACTATAATAGCATAGGATGCTAAATACCTAATGCCGCAAGCATTACACAGAGGGGTCCCATCTTCAGCATCTCTCCATAGTGGGGTTTTTCTTGTCTTGCAGGAAGCACAACGCTTATTTCCTTGAAAGCAAAAAGCAGTTAAGTAATCTATCTTCATAATTTAAATTTGCTGAAAACATGCCTTACAAATTTCTTCTAACTTGGACACTTTCAGTATTAGACCAATGGTGTTTAGATTTGGTTTGCGGGTTTTTTTGTTTGTTTGTTTTGTTTAGGGGTATTTTTAGTTGTTTTGAATTTTGGGGGAAAATCCTGGTGACTTGAAATATGTCATATGTGCTTATCACTGAAGTTTGTATAAAGAAAATTCAGAATGAGTGAACTTCAATAGGGTTAGTGTACATAATTTATATAATAATATCTATAAAGTTCAAATTGTCTCCCAATTTTATTTCAATAATCCTGCAAATATTTTGGTGAAGTGGTCTATTTTTTTATCATAAGGTGTTGAAATAAGGTTGACAACATCATAACTGTTACACAAATCACTTAGTGAGTTTGTTGCTAGGACAATTCTTAAACAGAGAGTTCTTGGCTCATAATTTAAGCTATTGCAAGATTTATACTAGATTATGATCCAACCTTTTCCTGAAAAAAAAAGATAAATCACATGCTTTTGTCTTTGACACTTTAAACATAACTAGTTAGTATTACAATTATTTACTGACAAAAGAATTAACATACTGTGTGCCGGGACGAATCCTTCCTCTTCCAAACTGCCAGTTTTGCACTCTTCTGCCAAAGGAACTCCACTTCTTTTCCTAGGTTTTCCACTGAGCACAGATTAGATATTTAGCATTTCAGGTATGCTTTGAAACAAAACGATTTCTTCAGTCACATGATTTAGCTTTATACTCTGATCTACACTGAAAATTAAATACAGGTAGTCCTTGACTTACGACTTTTTGTTTAGCAACCAAAGTTGCGACAGCAGAGGCCAAAGGATGGAACTGAAAAAAACATAATTAATCACAAACTCTTTATAAGGACAGTTTTTACTAAAAGATGTGACATGTGAATGAAGACTGCCGTTTGTGAGTAATACCTGGAAAAATTAAGTTCAAGACAGTATAACTAATCAATTTAATCAAAGCTATAAGAAACTACTCAAATCACACTTGATCCAAGATGTATGTATATACAAAAAGGATCTTACATCTGTTAAAGTATTTTCTACATTTACAGATCTATCCTACATATATCTATGCAACAACAACAACAAAAAAAAAGATTCTATGATTTGGAGTAATTGTTCCTGGATCAGTAAGAGTCAGGTTGAGCAGCTCAGCAAGTCTATATTTATCAAATTTCTATACCACCTATTACACTTGCATGCCTCTGGGTGGTTTACAAATAAAAATATTAATAACCTCTAACAAATAGTTCATAGGTACTGTAGTTTATGAATACAGTTCTGCAGGCATACCAAAAGAAAGTTGGGGCTTTAACAAGGTAGGAAAAGAATAAATGACAAAGTAAAAAAGTACAATTCCTCATATCTTATGTTCCTTGGGATTATCCTACTTCATCTAAATCACAGTGTGTTGCAAAACAAAAAGTATTAAAAAGTTGACAAAGGGAGAAAAGATTGCATTAGGAATAAAGAGTATAAGAGGGTTTTTCTTCTATAGAATTTACTCCCAAAATAAAATGTTCAATTGTGCTTCCCTTTATATATCAGGAACTACAGTATCTAAATTTCTAAAAGACACAAAGTCCTTTATCACTGAGACAAGTGTTCTGTTTCAGGAAAAGAGGCATTGAGACAAAGCAATGAGTTCCAACAGTCTCCTTTATTGCAACACCAACAGAACAGGTTTTAAAATGGTGCAGCCCCCTTTTATAGCCCCCTGCATAATACCTTGCTGGCCAATCATTGCAAAGGCTGGAAGCAGCCTTTCTTGTCCTGGGCATCCACATGGTCTGCCCGGGCCAATTGCTGCAGCCTGTGCCTGCCAGCCCAGGACATAACACCCCTCCCCCATTGGCTAAAATAATAAGGCGCACTTATTATTTTAAATACTCCAACACTCCATTACATTGCTTATGTTGCATCTATATATACACAACACTACAGTCTTGCTATCGCCATGCTCCCCACTCCCCTTGCGCAGCATTACTTAACCCAGACTACTAGGCCTGCCCATGAACTGACAAGGACCGTACATAGTCTTGTAAGTATTTGGGAGGACCTCTGGCCCGCCCTGATCTTCTCATGGCCGGTGTGTGTGCCTGTCCTGCCAGCTCGCCTGCCAGGCTAGGCAGACCAGGACTTTGTTGCCCCAAAGACCCAGGGGACCCACCCAGCTGCTGACTGGCTGGATCTGCTAAATCCAAGCCAGGGTTCCTGGGGGGGTAGAATTCCCCAAGTCCAGTGGTGGGGTGGAATTCCCCAAGTCCCCAATGGACTCCTTTTGGGAGCACTGTCCCTTCAGCCCCAGACCAGCAGCTGGCATGGCCTGAGTGCCAGAGGCCGGAGCTGCCTCCATAACGAACCCCCTTTCTGCGGACTCCCTGTTTGGAGCAATAGCTGAAGCCTGGGGATGTTGGAGAGACCGTGGTCCACAATCGTAATTGTGGTCCTCCTCCCTACCAAGAGCAGAGCTAGGAGCGGAAGAGTTGCTGGGAAGCCTCCAGCACAGTTGGTCAATGTGATGTCTGATCATACAACCATCATCCAAGGCCACTTTGTATGACAGCGTCCCAGAGACCTTGCATACCACTGCTGTGACCCAGAGATGTCCTGGTCCATAGTTCCTTGCCCAGACCAGATCTCCCACTTGTAGTCTCCTAGGTGCCCGTGGCTGTGACACCTGTGAAGCCACCCGGTCTGGGTGCAATCTGTCCAGTTTCGTGATGAGGCGGCAACCCCAGCAGAGTTCAGCTGGGCTCTTTCCAGTAGCTGTGCAAGGTGTGGTGTGGTGGCAAAGAAAAAAGTCCGCTAACCTGTGATGCCAGGTCCTGTGAGTGATCCTCTTTAAGGCATCCTTGGTTGTGCACACTATTCGTTCAGCCTGGCCGTTGGAAGCTGGATGGAATGGTGCAGATGTGGCATGCCGGATCATGTTGGCCTGGAGGAACGCTTTGAACTCAAAGCGTTGTGAATTGGGGCCTGTTGTCGGAGACAAGGACATCTGGAAGTCCATGTGCGGCGAAGATCCCTTTCAGCACCTGGATGGTCCTAGCAGTGGTAATGGAGGAGACTGGCATGACCTCTAGCCACTTGGAATGGCTGTCCACGAGAATTAAGAATTGCCCCTGAAAGGGCTCAGCGTAGCCGATATGGACCCTCGACCATGGGGTATGAGTCTCCTCCCACCTATGAACTGGGGCCTGGGGCATCTCCGGCCTTGACTGTTGATAAACAGTGCACCCGTGGACCTGGGCCTCGACATCTTTGTCGAGCCCAGGCCACCAAAGATGGCTGCACACTAACACCGTCATCCAGACTATTCCCGGATGTCCCTCATGCAGAGACTGCAGGACTCTAGTCCTCAATGAGGTTGGGATTACTACCCGGCTATCCCATAGGACACAGCCCTTGAAGATGGAAATCTTGTGCTTCCTCTGCCAGAAGCTCTGGAATTCTGAGCCTGGAGATGTGTCAGGCCATCCAGACAATGCCCAAGTCAGCACGCATGTTAGTGTGTGATCGGTGGCTGTTTCTGCAGCCACATCCCTAGCACTGAGGGGAGATTCAGGCAAGTCCTGAATAGACAGGATGAGATTGGCAGGTGCTGGATCTGCCTCTATCTGCTGTAATGGCAACCTGCTGAGACCATCTGCATTCTTTGCCTGGCTTGTGAACCAGTGTATGGTCATATGCAGACAGGAAGATAGACCACCTCAGCATTCATGGGGATATTATGTATGGGGTTTGTTTGTTTGTTGTGAACCCCTCAGCAGTGGCTTATGGTCTGTAAAGACCGTGAAGTGGCGGCCATATACGAAGTCATGGAACTTCTTTATGCCAGCCACTATGGCTAAGGCTTCCCTATCTATCTGTGCATAATTGCATTCAGCTGATGATAGGGTTCTACAGTAGTATGCTATTGGGACTTGTGTTCCATCAGCCTTCAAGTGACTTAATACAGCCCCAATCCCATAAGGGGACACATCACAGACGATGCACACTAGCAAGTTCTCACTGAAGTGCGCGAGGACTGCATTTGAAGAGAGCAAGGCCTTGACCTCTTTAAAGCTCTTTTCATGTGCTTGTGTCCACTGCCACGGGGACTGTTTGTCCAAGAGCCGATGTAACGGCTCAGCCATTGCAGCCTTGTGAGGAAGGAATGAGTGGTAAAAATTTAGCAGTCCCAGAAAGGCCTGAAGTTCGCCCTTGGATTTGGGACTTGGGGCCTGCTGAATTGCTTGCAGCTTGGATTCAGCAGGGTGGATGCCCTGAGCATCAATGCGGAATCCTAGAAACTCCATGGAGGTCACCCCAATCTTGCATTTGTCTTGCTTAAGCTTCAGCCACGCTTGGCGGAAACGTAGCAAAACAGCTCTCAGCCTTTTGGCTAAATTGTCAGCTGAGTCCCCAGCGATGAGGATATCGTCAAAGTACAGGCAAACGCAGGGATATTTCGGAGCGTTCGCTCCATTACACTCTGGAAGATGCCAGGGGTCACGTTTACTCCAAATTGCAATCTTTTTACCTTTAATGCCCCCCTGTGAGTCACTATAGTTTGGGCCTTGGCCATTTCCTCATCAACTGGCAATTGTTGATAGGCCTGAGCCAGGTCAAGCTTAGCAAAGATCTGGGCCCCCCTTGAGGGAGGCTAGAATGTGACTGACCACTGGTACTGGGTACGAATGCTGCTGCAGCGCTTTGTTAAGCATGCACTTGTAATCCGCACAGATTCGGACTTCACCATTGGCCTTCAGTGGCATAACTATGGGTGTTTCCCATGGACTACTGCCCACAGGCTCTAAGATACCCTGCTGAACCAGTTTATCCAGCTCTGCATCTATTTTACCCTTTAAGGCAAAGGGCACCCTGCATGGCTTGATTCTAATGGGGCTATGGCTGGGTCTAGCCTCAGAGAAATAGGAGGGCCTTTGTAGGAGCCAAGTTCTGAACTAAACACATCTGCAAACTCCTTGCAGACCCCAGCCAGGCCTGTTGTTTGCACTCTGTGTATTCCAATCACCTGAATTCCCAGGGCCTCAAACCAGTCGAGTCCAATGAGACTCGTACAGTCTCCCCCAACCACAACTATATCCAGTAGCCCCTCAAAATTCCTATGCTGCACCTTGAGTGTGGCCTCCCCCCTCAAGTTGACTCTGGAATTTTGGAAATCTGTGAGGATGAGGTTTGACGGCCTGAGTTTTACCCGTAGGCCGCTTCTGCTGCAGACCTTGTTAAATGTGTCTAAGGAGATGATCAATAAAGCATACCCAGTGTCCAGCTCCATTGACAAGGGGACCCCTTGCAACTTCACATTGATGTGAAGCTTCTTCCTAAGTGGCCTGTGGACCCCCATTCTAAAAACGCTCCTATGTGACACGCAGAAGCCCACCCTGTTCTGGCTGGGGACCTTGGTACCTTTCTGAGGCAATTCTTCTGGGTAACGTTCCTTCTGGCGACCCAAACAGATGAAGGCAATGTGGCCTTGCCTCCCACAGGACCTGCAGATGGCAGAACGAAAATGGCAGTCTGCGTGGCGATGGCAGCCTCCACACCTGATGCACTGGGGGATGATGCTGGCTGGGCCTTCCCTCCATGAGGCCTTCTCCCTGGAGTCTGATGCAGCCGGTCCACTTCCAATTCTGGATCCTGTTCGGATTCTTCGTGAGCAACCTCTTGATGGATGGTGGCTGGAACTTGAGGGGGCTTGGTGAGCCGCAAGGCCTTCACAGCTCTGCCTGCTGCTTCTTTGGCTGAAACTTCCCTCAGGGCATCTTGGAACATGAGGCCTTCCTTTGCGAAGAGCTTCTGCTGCAACTCCCGGCTTCGCAGGCCACAGACCAGCCCATCCCTCAGTCTCTCCTCCAAGTCTTTGAATTTGCAGGGCCTAGCTGCTTGTCACAAGGCCGCAACAAACTCTGCAGCAGACTCACCAGGCCTCTGGTCTCTCTGCTCAAACGCGTGTCACCAGGCAATCACTGAGAGCTTGGGTTCAAAATGCTCTCAAAGCAACCTCTTCAATTCTGTGTAGGTGATTGATTCCAGTGGTGCTGGGGTGACCAGATTCTCTGCAATCTTGAAGGTCTCTTACCCACACACACACAGCAGTGTGGCAGCTTTGAGGTCATCTTCACGAATTTGATTCATGTGGCGGTAGTTCTCTACCCGGGCCACGTACGAACTCCAGCGTTCTGGGTGAGCTGTGTCAATTCTGAAAGCCAGCCTATCTTTGCCATCGTTTCAGCCCAGGAACTTTGTCCATGCCTCTTGCTGCAAGGATTGAGAAGGGGCCCCCTTTTCTGAGCTCACCTCCAGCATCTCAGTGCTGGCAGGCTAAGTCAATCTCCACGAGCCACACTTCTCCGAGCTGCAAGCCCCCTTGTGGTGAGTCAGCTTGGCTTCTTAATCTGTTTGCCTTGCAGGCATCCCATCTTCGTCGCCAATGCTCTGTTTCAGGAAAAGAGGAATTGAGACAAAGCAACGAGTTCCAACAGTCTCCTTTATTGCAACACCAACAGAACAGGTTTTAAAATGGTGCGGCCCCCTTTTATAGCCCCCCTGCACAATACCTTGCTGGCCAATCATTGCAAAGGCTGGAAGCAGCCTTTCTTGTCCCGGGCATCCACATGGTCTGTCCGGGCCAATCGCTGCAGCCTGTGCCTGCTGGCCCAGGACATAACAATAAGAGTGACTACAAGCCAATAAAGCCTTTGGGTGGCTGGGAAGTAACTAACCTGAGTTTACAGCAGCAGTTTTGAGGTAGTTTCTCCACAGCAATACAGTATTAAACTTATATGCCACCCATAAGGCAAGTCTGGTTATAAATCTCTGAAAGTGCCATTCTGTATCTATTTCATAAATCATATGAAATGCTTGTCTAGCTGGAATTCCAGAAAGAAACTGCAGATTTTCATTTCCTGAATAATTTATAAGTGACCAAACTGACCTAACAAAAATAGAAAGGAACAGAAGGCAGACTGGCCAAGAGTTATAACTCTGTGGCAAAATTATCAACATGGTGCCTCACTATGTTAGGAATTGATATTGTCTCTTGTCATCTAGAAAACAAAACGCTATAGCTCATTCTACTGTGGGCAGCGTAGTGGGCACAATTTAATTCTGAAAACATATTAGGGACTCTCATAAAATGACTGCTATGGGAGGTGATAGAGGTAAGAACAAATTATATCCATAAAATGGCTTCCCTGGAAACATTGTCCCTGTAAACTATTTACCAGAATACTTCCATGCAACCCCTCTAGAATCCCCAGTTCTTGCATAATTTTTGATACTGCTGCTGCAGCTTACCTTGGTCCTTTTGTTAGGCAAGAAGTTACAGCCAATTATCATTTTTATTTTCCAAGAAAACTTATGAAATCCATGCATCATTTTTGAAAGTAAAAAATGATGCTGGAGACTGCACTGTGCCAGTGTTCCATTTATATTTATAGGTCTCCCTCTTGTAAGACAAAATGCAGCTTTTAGGAATTGAGACACTACACAAAAGAGGAAGTTTAAATCTTTGTGGAGTCTTTGACATTTTTTTCCAATCAGAACTGTTACTAATGGGACACAACATGCATATTACATGGTAGACAAGTTAATTAAAAGGAGAAATTAGTCCTAGGAACACCATAAAGTATTCCTGTAGCATATCTGGGAATTAGGAGCCACAGATTCACTGATATGTCGTACAGCAACTGTACCTGCTGAATTGGGGGTTAATGATAAGACGACAGCCCTCTGAAGAGCTTTGACACAGATACAATTTCATGTGGAGTGTCACCCCTTGGAAATTTGGGTCCAGAGCATCATAGCTCCTTCTGGGTTTAGGCTGTTTGCGGAAGACTCTCCTCCTGCCTCTTTGTGACTCAGAGAGTTGGGTCAGTCTGGTCTCTTCCACACAAGCTCGCCCCAGCAGGTGACTACTATGGTCTTTAGAGTGGGTAATGGGAGACCTCTTATGAGCAATTTCCCCAGCTTCTGGGGGCTTGACCTGATCTAGAGGTTCTGACTCAAGGCTGGAGCAATGGAGGCTGATGAGATTCAGAGCATCCGTGGGAGCAAAAGGCACTAGGGGAGAGGAGAAACAGTTGCACTGGAGTCCACGGACGCTGTGGAAACAGTTGCATTGGGGTCCACGGATGCTGTGGATGGAATGCATCCCTCGGCTTAGCTGCCATAGAGGCTTTCCTGGGTTACTGCTGATTGGCTCTGCTTGGGACAGCAGCTGGGTACTCTCCTGCAGGAAGCTGAGGGCTTTGCTATCTGGCATCTGAAGGCAACAAGCCATGTTGCTGAAAGGCTCAAACCTGCAGGTAAGAAGAGTAAGTAGAAAAGCATTGAGTGAACCAAGATGGTCATTTATGCTTATAAAAGGGTGGTGCACTTACTCCAAACTCTCCTTCTTCCACATGTATCAACTAAGGATTGCCCTACATAAATACTACCACTTTCACACTTATTTTGAAATTTACAGTTCTTTTTAAAACATTTTATTGAAGTTCCCATGAAAAAGTTATCTTAGGATAGTTTTTTAGAGGATTCTGTCCCAAATATTTCTGTAATAAGTCTCTATCACCACTGCATGCTAGTATAAATTCTATATGAGAGGCTCTCCTAGCATCCATCCAAATTTAGTTAAAAATAACATATCTAATTTCTTAAAGCTTTTTTTTAAAAAAAACCCTAAACCATGAATACATGTGAAAAAATTCACACTTTTTATTTGAAAAAATATCTGGAATTACCATGAGCATTTATCTATTTAATTATTTATTCTTTAGCCAGCATACACAACGAAAGGCCCTATAAATCTGTTGCAGCACTTAAACAATGCATTCAAACAACTGGCCAACAGTTTAATGTCAATGAGTTGAGTAGAAATATAGATGCTCTAAAATTTTATGATTTATGCCACTTATTTTTCAGACAAACATACTGCTCCAATGGATTTCAAAAGAAAAGACAATTAGTGATAATTAAATCTCAAGCATCCAAAAGCATGTTAGTGATCATGGCTTGTTAATAAGTTTGTTCAGCAATAAATTTCACAGACCGATTATAGGACTTTTTAGTCCACACGTTTGTGCCCTCTATCTTCAGAATACCACAGAACTGTTGTCTGCATATGAATTATTACAAAGATGATCCCTTTGGAAACAGCCCAAATAAATAAAGCTTTTTCCAAGTATCCTTTCATAATCCTTACTTTGTATATAATGATCCCATGATCATTCTAACCCTAATCGGTCGGTAGGTGGCGCACCTCCTGGCTCTCTCCTGCCCTGCGAACCCATCACTAGTAGCCTTGAAAATCGATGTACTGGACCAGGGATTGCTCTGCCTCAAGTATTCCGTCCTCTGAACAAGATTCCCCAAGTTTCCCTCGGCTCTCCAATCCCTAATACAGGACTTTTTCGGGACTGCTTTCCTGAAGCCCCTTTGCCATCTCAAGAGAGGCACCAATCATTGCCACGGCCCCTTTCCCCTCCACACGAAACTGAGGGGAGTTCCCCCTTTCCCCAACAGTCTTGCCCAGCAATTCCTCCTCCTGCTGTGGAGGCTGCCCTTTCCCATATCCAGGCCAGTTATTCCGAGGCGGCTGAACAAGAGCCGGGCCCACCTCCCCTCAAAGAAAACCCACCTAAAGTCTCCCGGCCCCTTCAGCTGCCCACACCTGCAAGGCCCCCGCGGGGAGTTCCCGCTTGCAAGTTCTTGACCAATAATAACCAACCCTGCCCGGGCTCGCGCCGCTTGCGGGGCTGGCCACCCAAGAGCTGATCCGGCTGGAGCGCGAAAGACGCAGCCCCTTTCTAGGCGGCACTGCGACCGTTTCGCTCTACAAGCCGAACCTAGACCGCCTCTTAATCGGCAATAAATCCCCACAGCCTTACGCCATAGAGTAAAGCCAATGAGCCGAGACCCTTTGCGCATTTACGCCTGAAGCGAGTCCCACTGCGTGTTAGCGAGGGTTACTCCTAAACTTCTCTTCCGTGGGCTTTAGTCCTAGGTCCAAAAAGCCAGTTCGATCTCGGATCTTCTTTGGGTGCGAACTGTGGCCCGGAGCAGGTTATGGATGTCAGTCAGAATGGCTCACCTGAATTCTCTAGCCGCGGCTGTTGCTGACCCGAAGTCCCCTGAAGCGGAGGCCGGATTGCAACTAGACTCGGACTCCAGGCAAGGTGGGCAGAGCAGTTCCTGCAGGACGGAAAAGTCCGGGGGTTGCCCTTCCAAGAAAAGCTCCCCCTCCATGACAGACAGTCCGGAGGGAGAACTTGACGCGGATCGCCTCCTTCAAAGGCGCAGGAGTCAACTTTTCAACGAAGGTGCTAAATTGGACACACCTGGGAGCACAGGGCCGGCAGCAGTAAAAGGAGATTCGGCTCGCCTCCCAACAACTACTTTTAGGCGACGTCGGTCAGAAGAGAAGAGCTCGAGATTGGAGCTTAGCTCAAAACGTTTACAAGGTCAAGTCTATCCACCAAATGTAGCCTGGACCCAAAATAGGATTTGTTACTGTATCTAAGTGCGGCCATCTTCTGTAGAGTAATAATATATTGGGTGCCTTGCTAGAGTCTGCCATGATTGATTTTCTTTTTTAAAAAACCGAGGAGGATGAATTTGAGAAGCTAATTAGGGTAAGAGGTTTCGTCTGGAGTTAAGTGGAACCTCCCTGTTCAGAGACTGTGTATCTTTGAAAAACAGAGAGACCTTCCTACTTGCTTTGATTTAGAGCTCAGCTTTGAAGAGCCACTCAACTGGTTATTATTGAAAATACTGTTCAACAAAGTGAGTTGGAACCAGTCACTTGAACCCAACTGCTTCTGTATGGCATTGTACATCCAGCCACCTAAAAATTATGAACAATTTGATTGAAATAAATCTCATTAAAAATATTCCTGTAAGCTGACCATAAGTAAATTGGGCAGCCATATAAATTTACTACATAAATAGGTGCATTACTTATTAAGCTTCTGGGGGGTGGTTAATGTGAAATTTTAGTAGGATAGCAGGGCTACAAAAAAGGTTGGGATAACACAGTTCAGATAACACATTTTGACAATCCTCAAACCTTAAACTGCTCATTTCGGGCAGGATTATTTAGCAGCAAAACTTTAGTTAACCTAATAACTATAATTGATAATTAACTAGTTAATTAGCCTAAAGGAAACTTTTCTGATTTTGACCTAACATAAATCCTTCCAAATCTAAGGATTATATGTCAGTTTTGAAAATTTCCAGAGACTGGGGTTATCAGTCATTTAGTCTAGTGTTTTGTTTTGTTTTTATTGAAAATTTTTATTTTTTAAAACATACAATCATTTATAAAAATACAATAAAATTTTAAAATAGAGAACCCTCCCTCCCCCCCACCCCCCCTCCCTTCACTTCCCAGAGCAGAATACAGGGTTAAGAAAAAAAAAGAAAAAGAAAAAAAATATCATAATTAACCTTTAACTCCATAACTTATAAAACAATTCTCTATAATATTTGATATTCATTCATAAAATAAATAAAACTTTTTAATTCCATATTTTTTCTGAATATAATCTATCCACCTTCCCCATACAGTAATATATCTTTCTTGTGTATGATCCTTTAAATAAGCAGAAATTTTTGCCATTTCTGCAAAACTAGATACTTTAAATATCCATTCTTCTAAAGTAGGCAAAGAATCTTTCTTCCAATATAGACCTACTAGTAACCTTGCTGCAGTTAATAAATTCAACATCAAAGTAGTTTCTTTTTCATTTAAGTCAACAAAAATACCAAGTAAAAATAGTTGAGGAGTAAACTTTATCTTCTTTCTAAAAATCTTTTGAATGTTCCACCAAATCATAATCCAAAAAGCCTTTACTTTTTTACAATTCCACCAAATATGAAAGTATGTCGCATCATTATTGCCACATCTCCAACATTTGGGCTGTATGTTGGAATACATACAAGATAATTTTTTAGGATCTAAATGCCATCTATAAAACATTTTATAAAAATTTTCTCTCAAATTTTGAGCTTGTGTAAATTTAACATTTCTTATCCAAATTATCTCCCATAAATCCAATGAGATCGGCTCCTGTATATTCTGAGCCCATTTAATCATACAATCTTTAACCAATTCTGTTTCCGAATCTAACTCTAATAAAACATTATATATTCTTTTTATATGAGCCGGACCTTGGTTTTTAATCTGAATAACCAATTGTCTATCTTCTAGTGTTATTCCCTCTTTCTTGTCTACAGTCCATCTATCCATTATTTGTAAATATTGAAACCATGACTGTAGAATATTTTGCTGCCTTAATACATCTAGGGATTTCAAATGCCAATTCGAACCAGAACAAATTAACAATTCTTTATATGAAATTTTATCAAAATTTGTCCCCTTAGAGGTTCCCTCAATTGCATGTCTGGGAATCCCCCAGATAGGTATTTTATAATTTAATCTATAATAATACTTCTTCCAAACACGAAGTAAGGCATTCCTCAAAATATGTGATTTAAAAGTCCGATCAACTTTCTTATTAAAAATTAAATATGCATGCCAACCATATATTAAATCCCAACCTTCCAAAAAAAGAATATCCATATTTGTTAAATTAAGCCAATCACTTAACCAAGTTAGGGCGGCTGCATCATAATATAATTTCAAATTGGGTGCCTTAAGTCCCCCTCTTTCTCGAGCATCCTGTAATATCTTAAATTTAACCCTTGGTTTCTTCCCGGCCCATATAAAATTATTGATACCCTTTTGCCATTCCTCCAAATTTGCCTCTTTTTTAAGAATAGGTATCATCTGAAACAAAAAAAGAAACTTTGGTAGAACATTCATTTTTACAGCTGAAATTCTCCCCAACAATGACAATTGCAATTTTTTCCAATCTATTAAATCCTTTTGGACTTTTGCCCATAGTGGTTCATAATTGTTCTTGTACAATTTTCCATTTGAAGCAGTTAGATATACTCCCAAGTATTTAACCTTTTTTACCATCTGAAAACCTGTGGCTTTAATCAAACTTTCCCTTTCTTTAACTGACATATTCTTAGATAATATCTTAGTCTTATAATTATTAACTTTAAAACCAGAAACATTCCCATACTGTGTTATAAGTTCTAATAAACCATCAATCGCCTGATTCGGCTGTTCCAAAATTAAAACCAAATCATCCGCAAATGCCCGCAATTTATACTCATTCTTCCTTATCTTTACACCCTTAATTAACTTCGATTCCCGAATCTGAATCAATAAAATTTCCAATGTTAAAACAAATAACAATGGGGATAATGGACATCCTTGTCTTGTCCCTTTTTGAATATTAAAATTCTCAGTCAATCCCCCATTTACAACAATTTGTGCAGATTGCTGCTGATATATAGCTTTAAGTGCATGTAAAAAATTATCCCCAAAATTCATTTTCTCTACCAAAGAAAATAAAAATTGCCAGTCCAATTGATCAAAAGCTTTTTCAGCGTCCAAAAAGATAAAAGCCACAGGAATCTGATTATTCTTATCCAAGTACTCAATTAAGTTAATAATTTGTCTAACATTATGTTTCATATATCTCCCTGTTATAAATCCTGCTTGATCACTATGAATCAAGTCTTTCATAACCTGCATTAATCTATTTGCCAAAATTTTTGTAAAGATCTTATAATCAACATTCAATAATAAAATTGGCCTATAATTCTTAGGCTCTGTAAGATCCTGATCTTCCTTCGGAATCAGTGATATAAAAGCTCTTTTCCAAGAAGGAGGAACTTGCATACCCAACAAAATACTATTAAAGAGTTCCTTTAGTGGCTCTATCATTTCTTCAGATAAAATCTTATAATACCTAGAAGTCAGTCCATCTGTTCCAGGAGACTTTCCAACCTTTAACTGCTTAATAGCTAAGCCAATTTCCTCCACAGTAATTAAACTATTCATCCCATTTTGTTGTTCCTCTGAAAGTCTAGGAAAATGTACTGATTGTAAATATTTATCTATATCCAAACCCCTTATATTATCACTTGAATATAATTTTGTGTAAAAGTCCAAAAAGCTTTTTTAATCAAATCTTGCTGAAAAACCTCAGTACCTTTATATTTTACTTTCTCTATAATTCTAGCTTTCTGTTTCTTTCGTAACTGATAAGCCAACCACCTCCCAGGCTTATTCGCATTGCAAAAAGTATTATGTCTCATATACGACAGATTGGTAGCCACCTGATCTGCCATCAACATGTTAAATTGTTCCTTAAGCATCTTTATAGATACCTTTAAATTATTATCAGTAGGGTTAAGAACCAACTCTTGTTCTTTTGATTTGATCTCTTCTTCTATTTCTCTACGTCTTTGTGACCCTTTTTCCCTAAAAACTTTATTCAATTGAATCAAAATTCCCCTCATATATGCTTTACTAGCGTCCCACACCATAGACATCGATGTTCCCTTATTCATATTTATAGTAAAAAAGTCCTTTAAATGTTCTTTACACTTTTGTACGAACTCCTCCCGATTAAATAAGTTCTCATTCAATCTCCAGGATCTTCTATTCCCGTCTTCCGAATATAACTCCATCCACACCGGACTATGATCTGACAATGTTCTAGGAAAAATTTTCACCTTCCTCACTCTAGGGAGGAAGTCACTAGTAATCAAAAAAAAATCAATCCTTGAAAATGACTGGTGTCTATCAGAATAAAAGGTAAAGTCTCTATCACTTGTATTCCTTTCTCGCCAAATATCAATAAGCTCCAATTCTTCCTTCAAATCAAAGAAAGTCATAGGTAATTTAGTTTGAATAAAAGTTTTAGAGGAACTTCTTTTGTCTATAGTTGGGTCTAAAACCCCATTCCAGTCACCCATCAAAATTACCGATTTATAATCCAACTGAGATATCTTGCCATGCAGCAACTTATAAAATTGTTTCTGTTGTTGATTGGGAGCATATAGTCCAACAATAAGAACCTTTCGGCCTTGTAATAATAATTCCACAAAAAGATATCTTCCTTCAGAATCAGCCTCAATTAGTTTAGCTGAAAAAGTTTTCTTCACATAAATTACCACTCCCCCTTTTTTCCCAGGGGCTGGAGCAGTAAAATGTGTGCCCAGACGGGAATTCATCAAGAATTTAGAATCCTTTAAAGTTATATGAGTCTCCTGCAAACATATCAAATCATTATTATGTTGTTTCAAATAATGGAAAATCTTTCTTCGTTTCTGGGGCACGTTTAAGCCATTAACATTCCAGGTCAGGAACCTGACCATCTCCACCGGCCTGGAGCCTCTGGAGCATGGCCTGCAGATCTGCTGTCGAAGATCTTTTTGGTCTTGCCCCTCCCACAGGCTCTGTAACAACCAAACTTTCACCACTCTTCTGCAACTGCTCTTTTTCTTTACGTTTATG